CTGCCCTACCCGTCAACGGTGAGCAGCTGACTCTTAAAGTTGACCCCCAATCTCGCAGCCACCTGTAAAAAGTTGGACGAGAAGGTCTTGGTCTCGAAAAAGTCGCGCCAGTCCTGACATGGAAATGCGTACTCTTTTCCAACAACTAGCGTCGGAGCTACCTCCGCAGCCACACTCTTGTAGGCCAACTTAAAGTCCTTCGTCAGAGGTATCCCCCTGGAGGGAGCACCTTAACGAAAGAACACAGAAGCCTGGGCTACATCCGACTTAGTCGGAGCACAGACCTCAGGCTATTACTTTGCCAAAAGAGCCTGCGCATCTGCTGCAAGACCCTGAGAGACTTGGGGGCCGCACTGGCCAAGGATTCTGAAGCAGAATCAGCATCTTGGTCTCCAAATTCGGCCTCGTAGGGAGCCTGGACGTAAGGGGGCGGGCACAACCACGGGAATCTTCTCACCGGGAGGGGCGCCAAGATCCGGGAGGGGCGCCAAGAGCCGCTAGGAGGCTCTGAACCTGCCAAGACCAACCGGCAGGCTGGTATCAACAGGAGGAGTTTCTTTCAAAACTGGCGAACCCGCACCGGAATGAACCGGGTCAGAGTTCGGGTCGTCCAAGTCCACGGACCGGACCGGTCCACCAGCTCTCCTCAGCAAAGAGTTTCAAATATCGGTGCAGCCCTGACTGATCGACCACTGTTGGGGAGGGAGCGGGCATCCAAGCAGAGGCACCAATCTTCCTCCCAAGCCTTCGTCTTAGGCTTTGACTTCAGCTTGGTAACCAAAATTACGAGGTGACCTCTTGTGGGCGGGAACCGCCGTGAGGGATGCCAACACCTCACACTTGTCCAATGTCAACTGGGTGGGGTGGTCGGATAGTCTCTTGCGGCTTGAACCAACCCATCTGTGATGGGAGGGAACCGGCTCTTGAGGACTCAAGGCTGCACAGGGTGCTGCAGAATCACTGAAATTGCACATATCACCGGGTGGAGCTAAGCCAGCGATCGGGGTCCGAGTGTCAGTGGTCGCAAAAACAACGATGCTCTTAACCCGGGCCCGAACTTACCCACCGACACGCCCGAGAAGACAACACCCAAGCGAGTAGTCAGCTTGCCACTCGTACCCCAGAATCTGCATTTGCGGGAGGAGAGGCACAGGTACCAGGTTCAGAAGCATCCATGACGAACCTGTAGACAAAGAGAACTAGATGGAACTTTGACTGCGCGCAGTCGAAAATGATGCCTCCGACATAGAGCAATTTTACACACCAAGACAGAAGAAATTTTTCGAATTCAAGTTTGATTGTAATCCATCAACAGGTTTTCAGACTATCGCGATTTCAAGCTATTCATCATATACATGTATGACCCTTTGATCTTTGACCTCATGACCCCAAATATACTCAGTTCATTGGCTCTGCAAGATACATACATGTCTTGAGTTTGATGGTAATTAATCCATCCATTGGTTCTAATGTAGTGCGATCACAAGCTATTTTTGCACATTTTTGCTCATTATACATAATGAGCCCTGTGACCTTTGACCTTGTGATCCCAAAATATAAACAATTCATTGGCTCTGCAAGTTACATACATGACCAAAGTTTGGCAGGAATCTATCAGTCGGTTCTTGAGATCACGAGAACGGGACGTATGGACAGACATACAGACGGACGTAAGGACGGACGGACAACCCAAAAACATAATGCCTCCGGCTACTTCGTAACGGAGGCATAAAAACCAAAGAGAAAATCCAAACAAAGAGAGCATGAGCGAAATAAATTCAGCGCCACTTTATTTCTAGACAAAACAATCTCAAATTAAATGTTTCACAAACTAAATTCAAACCCAAAAGGCATGGACAAAAAATTAATCCAAACAACCACGAGCAGACAAACGGCCGGACCGCAGCTAGCTGTGACCAGCGAAGCGGAGCGAGCTAAAGTGGGACGCTAGGCAGATGAGTAAATTATCTGCCTAACCAACGTAAAAAAACCCAACCAACAAAAGGGTGCTAAACTGCTAAGCCGATATAGAATGCCCAGCCCAGCAGCATAACAAAGCTTCCAAAAACGGTCCCGAAAGAGGAAATTGCGAGGCAGAAATGTAAGTCAAATTTCCGCCTAAAATAAAATATGTGACCGGGAACCCGTACAACCAAATTATTAGAAATTAAAACGAGGATGGAATTTCATGCCCAAAAACTAACTAAGCCTTGCCAAAAGGACAAAAAATTTCTCTCTCGGCATGCGAGAATAGAAAGAGGTTGCGCACGCTGTGAACGTTGTGAACCCTGGGAAGGTGATGTATTGGTTTGGGGCATTCGCGAATGTGACGTTTTTGGTTCTCGATGGCTGCGTAGTTTAGGTAAACTAGCAAAAAATAGGTAGATGCATTGATTTATTGTGGTAAATCTTAAAATCACTCATTAAGACAAATCAAGTATAATTTCACACTCACTGGAATGGTCAATGGAAATGAACTGAACATCCATTCGAGGACTGGTGTAACCCTTTGCTCCTATGACAGCAAACCACATCTCGTTGGTATCTACATAGACATCATCAGCGTAGTCTCTATGTCCGTGAATAGTTGTGATGATAGACTGTATGTCAGACAGATCGTTACCTGTCCCTATTTGGACTTCATCATCATCATCAAGAACCAAATCTTGGAACACAACTCGAAATCCAATCGTAGCATTTGTTTGTAGCAAGGTTACGTTATACAATCGTCTTGGAGGTGTGTATTGTAAGGAGATGAAATATGAATCGCCTTCCTGAAGATTTCTTGCTGAATAATCTGTCAAGAAAGAAAGCAATTTTTTTTTTTTAAACAAGAAAAGAACAAATACCTTTCACATCTGTCAATGATTCTGATAAGTTCTTCAACTAGAGATTTGTAGATAAGCTTCATCATCGTGCCTGTTTACAAAGTTTTCACATGTCCCTTTTCTAGATATGAATCAGAAGTGAACCATTTTATACACCAAAACGTTGTTTCTTTAACCCACAACAACAATTTTAATTCAACTGCTAATAGATGCATACCCTCGCAGGGTACAAATGGCCTATATTGGTCAGAACAAGTTACCTTTATTAGACTATACTATTATATTACTAGGCAAGGAAGTTAACCGCATATATAAATAGGTATTTTTGCATATTTAATGTGCTATGACCTTTCACCTTTGGACCTCCATACTCCGAAATCAAACTATGGCTGTTTTTTGATACAATGTATTTTCATATCAAATTTCATTAAAATCCGTCAAACAGTACTAACGTTATCGAACAAAAACCAGATTCGCATATTTAATGAGCTATGACCTTTGACCTACATACTCCAGATCAAACTTAGGCTGTGTTTCAATACCATGTACCTTCATATCAAATTTCATTAAAATCCGTTAAATATTACTAAACTTATCAAACGGAAACCAGATTCATATTTTTTCGCATATTTAATGACCTAGGACCTTTGATCTACATACTCCAAAATCGCACTTAGGCCGTGTTTTGATACTGTGTGCCTTCATATCAAATCTCATTAAAATCTGTCAAACATTACTTATGTTCTCGATCGAAAACCAGATTTGTTTATACGGAAGGACAGAAGTAAGGACGGACGGCAGCATTATTTTATCCCCTCTGACTTCGTCGGCAAGGGGATAATAATAATAATGTGGGGTTATATACATGTCTAAAGATTGTAATTTTTCGCTTTGAGGTTACCCTTTGTACGTGCCCCTTTTTTTCCAGAAAATTTCCAGACAGTTTTTTTTTTTGCTGACGCTCCACCACTTCCGCTAGGATGTGGATTAAATGAATATTGTTTCAATAGTCACCAGATTCATGGGTCTATTTAACCACCTTCAACATCAAGCTACTATCGAACTGAATCATAGTACATGTAGATTATGGCTTTGGTGGGTGCAACCCAAGAGATCCAATATCTACCCCTCCCGAGGATATTAGGCTTAATGCAAGACAAAGATATATTATTCAATGACATGAATGCTGCTGTAAAACCTGAAGGTCAAGATCTTGATCAGATAATGTTCCAACTAAATCCTTTAAGGAATGTGCATCAAGTGCCGCATCCATACTACAGAAATTATATTGAAAAAAATAATACAATGACCGGTGAGGTGCGCTTCTCCTCATTCCTAAAATAATTCCTGTCTTGTCTGGAAGATTCTGCACATAAAACATCTAGAAATGAGGTGAAGAACATCATACCCCCCCCCCCCCCTCCCAACACACCTTGGTTTTTAGTAGACGAACTTAGGTGAGAAATGTAAAAGAAATGATGAAGAAAGTTCACCATAAAAAATGCTTTTCACTTTAGAAAATATTTTGAGAGTGTTGGAAATGTGCTAACATAATTTTGTCATAAATGTTTGTTTTTATCTGCCACAAAAGTTTTTGGCCGTGATGATTATTATCTGTGTCAAGCCATTATGTATGAAATTATTTCTTTAATTATTTGTATATGATATATGGATGTTCTGTATATGATGAAATTTGTTTTGAAAATAAAGAACCCTGTGGAAGGGGGAAAAAAAAATTAAAAAATAAAAAATGCAAGAAACTAATGATGTTGACTAATTTCTTAATTTTTTTAAACAGTGGAGAAGAATGTGAGAGAATGCAAAATATATGGCTTCATATTTCATTACCCTTATTCCAACAATTCTGTGTTTGTGTACCTGGACCAACGTTTCCTAAGACTTGTTATCAATAGCATGTCACAATAAATGATACAGTGAAACCAGTCTATAAAGACCACCTATTAATTTTAGAGCTTGTTATTAATAACAATTTTTTATTAAATAAGCCCTTGGTTAGAGTAATTAGGAGATACGCTAATTAGTATTTCTGTAAATTTGCCTATTCTTTATCATGTAAATGGTAGTAGACAGCAGAAAATAATGTGTCAGAACACAGAGATGTAGTCAAAAAGAGTTTCAGTATCAAAACTAAGGAGGTACTCTGTTACTTACTGCATAATGATTCATCCTCATAATTGTCACAGTTGTAATATCCATCGCAAACCAACGTCACTGACACGTCCATGCTCGATCCTGAACAAGGAAAGAAATCTAAAACAGAAAAAGGACGATGTGTGTTTTAGGAGTATTAAGTTACTTCTGATTTTAAACATAATCTCTTAATAATAGTAGCCATAATCTATGTTTTTCCTTTAAAATGACAATTGAGATCAACAGATACATTTTCAGTTACAATTGATCTTGCACATAGACTATAGCATATATGCCTCTTTCGTGTTACCGGTAATAGTTTTAATACTTGTTAATGGAAGGGGGCCCGACCTAATTGTTACCTTGCAAAAGGCTGATGATATTGGTGGGAGGTGGAAAACCCATAATTTTGAATTGCAGATTTTAACCTACAGCGATCCATACACTCTTCTTAAGCTTGTTAAGCAATTGTCGTTGGTGGGAAATCTACTATTTTACATCTAGTGATGTCACTGTTCAACAATAAAGCCAAAATCTTAATTAATACAGGTTGATCAGCGCATTTATAAGTCACTTGTGTTATCTCCAGTCATTTGATAAATAACAAAAGCCACAATAGGTATTGAACAGTAAAGTCTGATTGATGCAATTAGACTCACTCAGCAAATCAATGGCAGTAACACGAACATCAATCTGAAGATCAGTGTATTGCCTCCCTCCTATGACAGCAAACCACATCTTATTGATATCTACGTACACATCATCAGGACCGTAGTATCTATATCCATGGATAGTTGTGATAACAGACTGGTTGTCAGACGGATCGTGACCTGTCCCTATTTGGACTGTTTCATCACCATAATCGAGATACAAATCTTGAAACACAACCTGAAATCCATTTGTAGCATTTGTTTGTAGTAAGGTTGCGTTATACAATCGTCTTGTGTTTGTGTATGGTAAGGAGATGAAATGTGATTCGCCTTCCTCAAGATATGTTGCTGAATAATCTGTAAGAAAGATTTGTATAAGACAAAAAGAAAGAAATGAATTACTCTGACTAGTGTGAGAGCTTCTCCCTCCCCCCTAAATATCCTATATTATCCATATGATATCACCCCCTTAAATTACTTCTACCACCAAGGTCATTCCCAAAAAGGTTGTCGGCCTGACCGTATCTGTTAGAGCTCCAAAAACAGAGCACAAAATCAGGTCAGTTTCCTCCCATCTTCTTCATGCACGAAAAATTCATTGGAGGAAATTATGATGGTAAATTACACATAGGAAAAAGTGAAAACATTTAAACAGGGATCGGTTTACCGGTAATAATATCGGACACTCCTTGATAAATGAGGTCATTTTTCCCCCAAAATAAAATAGACAGTTTTTATAGGAAACATTCTCTATTCATTACAAAATATAAAGTCTGACCTGTCCTTATATCCAGACATACGACTTCAGATTGACAAAATTTGGTGCTTGAATCCGACTTCATGTGGTCTGTTGAGGGGGATTAACCCAACAACTACACTCAGTCTGCCACACTTTTATCAATGAATTAAAAGATACTTTGAGGGTCATAATTGTATGATTGAAATGGTTGGCCATTCAGGACCAGTCTTTGGCTTCTACCTAGTTGTGAAAAGTCAATAGAGCAAAATTGGATACCCTAATAGGCCGAGAGCATAAACGCCATGACCCCCGTGACTAAAATATCCAAGAAAGTTTATGAGACAGACATAACAAGTCTGTCTTCAAAACTGTCTTCATCGTAAAACTGCAATACTGTAATGAAATTATATAATTCATAAAATAGTAGAGAAGGATGTGAGAGAATGGGAGTTATAGTGCTTCATATTTCCGCACCCATATTCCAACAATTTCGTGTTTGTGCACCTGGGACCTGTTTCATGAAAAATGTTATCGATCACAAGGTACAATAACTGTTATAAGCTACTAAAATCGTGGCATTTGATTGGCTGAGAGAAAAATTTTCATAGAATCTTAGAATTAGTTATTAATAACATATGCTATCAAATCATGAAGTACAACAAAACCTGTCATACTTGTAAGAAACGCAGTACTAAATATCAGTTGTTCTTTAACTTACTGCATGCTAATTCATCCTCATAATGATTGCAGTGGTAAAATCCATCGCAAAGGACAGTCTGTGACACATTCATGTTGGAGCTTGAACAAGCAAATAAGGCTGGTAGAATATAGAAGATGGAGAGAAAAATTAAATTTATGAGAAGCTCTTAATGCTTGGAAATTTGACAATTGAATACACTTTTAGTAATTAGGCACATTACAAATTCACCTTCTTTATACTATTATTTCTGGTAAAATTAGGAATATGCTTCATCTTCATCAGTCAACCGGTGTTGAATAATTCTCATTTTACAACTGGTAAAATACCAGTTATCACTTCTTCAATACACAGAGCTTTACTGTATATCCTACCGATATTTTAAAAGAAAATTCATAAAACACTCACTTGATAGGTCAATGGAAATGATCTCAACGTTCATTTCAAGACTGGTGTAACTCTTTGCTCCTATGACAGCAAACCACATCTCATTGATATCTACATAGACATCATCAGCGTAGTCTCTATATCCATGAATAGTTGTGATGACAGACTGGTTGTCAGATGGATCGTTACCTGTCCCTATTTGGACTTGAACATCATAATCGATATACAGATATTGGAAGATAACTCGAAATCCATTGGTAGCGTTTGTTTGTAGTAAGTTTGCGTTATACAATCGTCTTGTGCGGGTGTATGGAAAGGAGATGTAATGTGATTCCCCTTCCTCAAGATATGTTGCTGAATTATCTGTAAGAAAGATTTGTCTAAGTCAAGAAATAATTTTTTTTTTTAATTTAGAAAAGAAAAGAAAAACAAGTACTTATCGCATCTGTAGCTGATTCTGATCAGATTTTTAACTAGAGATTGGTAATGGTAGATAAGCTTCAACATTTTGTACTGTCTAGTCCATATGATTTGACCCCCTTGATTTACTTAGAGGAAAGATTATTCCCCTCAAATTTGTCAACCTGATCGCATGTGTCGGAGATCCTAAAGCAGAGCCCAAAGTCAGGTCAGTTTCAACCAATTTTTTAGGAAAAATCCTTTTTCATTACAAAATATAAAAGGCTGGCCTGTCCTGATATGCAGACATATGACTTCATATTGACAAAAGCTGGAGCTTGGACACGACTTCATGGGATCTGTTAAGGTTGTTAAGGAGGATTGCATACCTGCCAACAATTGAAAATCTGTACCCTAATCGGAGTCTGGGTTGCACAGACCCAAGCGAGGGCAAGAGGCAGTGACCCTGGTACAGTTATATATCTACGTGTGTATTGAACAGGCGATCACATGGCCTACCATGGCCATGTACATGTACATGTATGCAGCCTCAGTGTAACTGGCAATACGTGGTAAATCTGTACAAAAGAGCGAATACAAATTCGCTGCTCGATCGTGCAGTCATTCAACGCATGCAGTACGCAAACTCTCAAAATCGCGGCACATGGTATAACATACCAAATTTGTCTTTAAATTTTTTTTATCAAAAAACTAGATGGATCTTCGACTGCACGCAGTCAAAATTGATGCCTCCACCATAGAGCAATTTTACAAACCAAAACAGAAATAATTTCAAAAACTCGAGTTTGAATTCAACAGGTTCTCAGAATATTGTAATATACAAGCTATTTATCATACACATGGCTCTGCAAGATACATACATGTCCTGAATTTGATATTAATCAATCTGTCGGTTCTAATGATAATGCATTCACAAGCTAATTTTGCATACATAATGAGCCCCATGAGGTTTGACCTCATGACCCTAAAATCTAGTCAGCTCAATGACTCTGCAAGATACATTCATGTCTTGAGTTTGATGGTAATCTGTCCATAGGTTTTAATGATAAATCGATCACAAGCTATTTTGGCATACATAATGAGCCCTTTGACCTTTGACCTCGTGACCCCAAAATATAGTCCATTGGCTTTTCAAGATACATACATGACCCCAATTAGACGCGAATCTATTAGTCAGTTCTTGAGATAAGGCAATCACAAGCCATTTTTGCTCACATGATGATCGAGCCCCATGACCTTTGACCTCATGACCCAAAATCTAATCAGTTCATTGGCTCTGTAAGATACAAACATGTCCTGAGCTTGATGATAACCTGTCGATCGGTTCTAATGATCATGAGATCACAAGCTATTTTGTTAACATAATGAGCCCTGTGACCTTTGACCTCGTGACCCCAAAATCTAATCAGTACATCGGCTCTTCAAGATACATACATGACCCAAACTAGACGGGAATGCATTAATCAGTTCTTGAGATAACGCGATCACGAGCCATTTTTGCATAAATGAGCCTCATGACCTATGACCCTCATGAAAGTCCAAAATCTAATCAGTTCATTGGCTCTGCAAGATATATACATGTCCAGAGTTTGATGATGATCCGTCCATCGGTTCTAGTGATAATGTGATCACAAGCTATTTTTGCATACATAATGAGCCCTGTGACCTTAGACCTTGGATCTCATGACCCCAAAATCTAATTAGTTCATTGGCCCTGCAAGATACATACATGACCCAAGTTTGGCGGGAATCCATTGGTTCTTGAGATAACAAGATCACGAGAACGGAACGTACGTACGGACGGACAGACGGACTGACAACCTGAAAACATAATGCACAAGGCAGACAAAACAAGTCTGTCTTCAAAATGATGAAGAAAGTTCACAGTAAAAATGCAAGACACTGATGAATTTCACAATTTCGTAAAACAGGGGAAAAGAATGTGAGAGAATCCGTAATTAATGGCTTTATATTTCCGCACCTGTATTCCAACAATTCTGTGTTCATGTACCTTGGCCCTGTTTCTCAAAACCTGTCATCAATAACAAGTTACAATTACTGTTTAAGCTACTGAAATCGTGGCATTTGATTGGCATAAAGAATTTTTTTTCAAGAATCTTTTATCAATAAAATTTTTATGAAAACAAGCCCGTTGTAACTAATACTGTTTTCAAACTGGCTTCTATCAGAGTCACACCGATGAAAATATAGATTGGATTTCCTTATGTAAACAAAGGTGAAACCGCCGTTTTCCCTGCTGTCGCTTTCATACTGCTGGTGAAATTCACTCGCTGTGGCGAGCCCTTGCCGGAAGTGAAGAATTATTACATAATTATTAAGCACGCGCCCCATCTAGTAAGCATGCAGCATGTTCAACAAAAAGTCAGCAAACACAGCTGGTTACGATAAAGCGCGCATATACTGCGACATTTGACCATTTTAATCGCTGTTGTCTCCCGAACGCATTCACAGTGGCTGTTTTATTGGTGTCACACCGATAGAATGAGAATTTAATCGCCCATTTCTCTTCTTTTCATCGGCTATTTAATCAGCTTTTTCTCCTCTGTAGCTTTCATAGTGGCCATTTCATCGGATGCATCAAAATCAGGCCAGTTTGAAAGGGGTATAATTAGGGGATACACCTTTTCCAAATTTGTCTAAGTTGAATTCTATATCACGTACAGTAGGCAGCGCAATGTCAGAAAACGGAGATGAAGTAAAAACAAATTTTAGTATTAAACTAGATGGAATTTTGACTGCGCGCAGTGGAAAATGATGCCTCCGCCATAGAGCAATTTAAACAAGTTTGGAGTTTAAATCTCCAGTGGTTCTTGAGATATCATGATAAAAATCTCAATGCATGGAATTTCATAAGTTGACCTCTGTGACCCTTGACCTTTGACCTACGTGCTTCAAAATCTAATCAGATTGTCTTCCTATGGTGATACACACTATCATTAAGTTTGAAGTTTAAATCTCCAGTGGTTCTTGAGATATTATGATATGGTGATACATACTATCATTTAGTTTGAAGTGAAAATTCTCCAGTGGTTCTTGAGATATCGCGATAACGATCTCAATGTATGGAATTTCATAAGTTGACCTCTGTGACCCTTGACCTTTGACCTACGTGCTCCAAAATCTAATCAGATTGTCTTCCTATGGTGATACACACTATCATTAAGTTTGAAGTTTAAATCTCCAGTGGTTCTTGAGATATTATGATAACAATCTCAATGTATGGAATTTCATAAGTTGACCTCTGTGACCCTTGACCTTTGACCTACGTGCTCCAAAATCTAATCAGATCGTCTTCCTATGGTGATACATACTATCCTTAAGTTTGAAGTTTTTACATCTCCAGTGGTTCTTGAGATATCATGATAACAATCTCAATGTATGGAATTTCATAAGTTGACCTCTATGACCCTTGACCTTTGACCTACGTGCTCCAAAATGTAATCAGATTGTTTTCCTATAGTGATACACACTATCACTAAGTTTGAAGTTTAAATCTCCAGTGGTTCTTGAGATATCATGATAACAATCTCAATGTATGGAATTTCATAAGTTGACCTCTGTGACCCTTGACCTTTGACGTACGTGCTCCAAAATCTAATCAGATCGTCTTCCTATGGTGATACATACTATCCTTAAGTTTGAAGTTTAAATCTCAAATGGTTCTTGAGATATCGCGCTAACAAACTCAATACAAGGAATTTCATAAGTTGACCTCTGTGACCTGTGACCTTTGACCTACGTACTCCAAAATCTAATCAGATCGTCTTCCTATGGTGATAAATACTATTCCCGAGTCTTAAGTTTAAATCTTAAATGGTTCTTGAGATATTGTGATAACGGTCAAACGGGACGGACGTACGGACGTACGGACGGACGTACGGACGGACAACCCGAAAACATGATGCCTCCGGCACCACCTTCGGTGGCGGAGGCATAACAAAATGAAGGAAGTATTCTGCTACTTACAACATAATGATTCATCCTCATAATTGTCACAGTTGTAATATCCATCGCAAACCAAAGTCCCTGTCACGAACATGTTCAATCCTGAACAAGGAAAGAAATCTAAAACAGAAAAAGGAAGAAATGTGTTTACGAGTATTAAGTTACTTCTAATTTTAAACATAATCTCTTAATAATAGTAGCCATAATCTATGTTTTTCCTTTAAAATGACAATTGAGATCAACAGATACATTTTCAGTTACAATTGATCTTGTTCTGGTCATGCGATTTCATTGTGAAAGAAACGGTGTGGAATCGATCAGAAAGGCTTGATCATGAAGCATATAAGTATGTATATGTATTGCAAAGTTCTAGAATCATCACAATGATAATAAATTTGGCCAAGTCTTGGTAAAGTTACAAGCACTGTACACAGAAGGATGTATTTGGGACTACACTAACACGTGGCATACAAATCCGTCCCGATTTAGAATATGAAGGCATTTGAAGAGCCATGCTTTTCAGGGAACATTTCTTCCACCCTTGCATAATACAATGATAACGCTCACAAATTATTTTTCACTTCTTCCCAGTACTCAACCTTCTCTTTAAGGGGCTAAATTTGATAGTGCTTATAATACATCCACAGGGGCACCCAAATATATCAACATTTTAAAGAATTACTGTCCATCCAATTTTCAAAATTCCCAAAAATTTGCATTACCTTTAATGGTTACGTTACAAAAGGCTGTTGACACTAGCTAGAAGTGGGACACCCACTCATTAGATATTCATGTCGGCAAAACTTGAATTGTACATGAACATGTAGTTATTAACCTTCAATAAATACACTCTTCTTGAGCTTGTTGGATCATTTTTGTCAAAGTTGGTGGAAAATTTTCTTCCCACATACTATTTTACATCTAGTGATGTTACTGTCTAACAATAAAGCCAAAATCCTTATTAATACAGGTTGATCAACAATATGTTATCTCCAGTCATCTTATTAGTAACAAAAGCCACAAGGAATTAAACAGTAGAGCCTGATTGATGCAATTAGACTCACTCAGCAAATTGATGGCAGTAACATGAACATCCATCTGGATACCACTGTATTGCCTCCCTCCTATGACAGCAAACCACATCTCATTGGTATCTACATAGACATAGACATCGCTGTTGTATCCATGGATAGTTGTGATGACAGACTGTATGTCAGACGGATCGTTACCTGTCCCTATTTGGACTGTTTCATCACCATAATCGAGATACAAATATTGGAACACAACTTGAAATCCATTTGTAGCGTTTGTTTGTAGTAAGGTTGCGTTATACAATCGTTTTGCATTGGTGTATGGTAAGAAGATGAAATGTGATTCACCTTCCTCAAGATATGTTGCTGAATAATCTGAAAGAAAGATTTTTATAAGTCAAGAAAGAAAAAAAAGAAGAAAAAAAAGGAAAATAAAAAAATAAAAGAAAGTAAGTGACTTTTGCATCTTACACATGATTCTGATTCAATTTGATTCAAATGATTTTATTTCTCATGCAAAACATAATACAATGAAATTGCAATGTTATTTGCAATTTGATTGTATAGTACAAAAATATACAATAAAACAAGACAAATATAATAGTAATGGCACGATAAAAGAGGAGCTAAATAGAAGCAGAGCTTGTTGAAGTATTAGTTCCCCAGAGGGTGTTTTATAATACATCTTGAAAACAAAGTATACATAGAAAATCAATAAGTCAACAAATATTTAACAATAAAGAAATTTGGGGAATAGATAAAAACGAGGAAAAATTGGGTAAAAATAGAAGAAGGCAAAACAGAAAGAAAGATAGAAAAGGAAAATAAATGATTGCACAAGCTCTAGAAAGAGGAGGTTAGATGAGCAGAAAGAGGGAGAAAGGGATTGATTTGAGAGTCTGATTAGTACGTCAACTAGAGATTGGTATATAAACTAATGATAATGTGGTCACGAGCTATTTTTGCATACATAATGAGCCCTGTGACCTTTGACTTTGTGACCCCAAAATCTGATTAGTTCATTAGTTCTGCAAGATACCGGTACATACATGACCCAAGTTTGGCATACAAATCTGGTACTTGGACATGACTTCATGGGATCAAAATAAGGTGGTTTAGGGTGATTGACTCGACAGCTACATGTCAGTCTGCCACACTTTTTATCAATGAATTTGAATGTACTGCCGTGTTGGGATCGTTAAGGAGGCGAGGAATATAAATAAAGAGACTTGTAATCATTCTTGTTCACAATTTCTGGAGCATATATTCAATCTCAATACTCAACTACATAACACAATTATACTCTCTAGCATACGAGATACAAACATCTCTATGTCTAGTCTCTGTAGTCTATCTCAATTCTTGTTCAGCAGTTGATGGCTGAAATCGAAGTCCCTATGATTAGCCAACTTTCCAATCAGGAAAGTTTCGGGGAGAGAAACAATGTTGGGATGGGTGACTTAAACATGCTTATGATTCGTCAATGGTCAGGGTTGCTATGGTATTATGGGGAGTGGCTATGGAGAGTGCAAGTGACTGGGGTCTAAGTTGTATTATATGTCTTGGTAGTAGGCAGCACAACATAATGTGTTAGAACACAGATTTATTCTAAAAGAATTTCAGTATCAAAACTAAGAGTGTATTCTACTTACTACATAATGATTCATCCTCATAATTGTCACAGTCGTAATATCCATCGCAAACCAACGTCACTGACACGTTCCTGTTCGATCCCGAGCAAGAAAAGAAACCTAAAACCATCAAGAGAATGATGAATATTACCATTTACTCTTTTTTAATCATGAGTACACCTATTTCTAATAGTATGTTTTGGGGGTTTGTATACTCTTTCTTTTATTTCATACAAACAAAATGTTTTACACAAATTACGAAATTCTATTAAAATCGACTGTTGATAAATAGGCCTACTCTCACGTGCTCAGAACTGAAAATTAACGTACTGTTAATTAATATATCCATGTATCAAATGTCAATCTAAGTCTATGAGTACATTCAGTGTAATCCTTGTGCCTATACCCTAGACCTACACAACTAATTACAGGATAATGAACCAAAAATCACTAGAACATAATCTGCTTTTTAAAAAAGCAAGCCTTTTAGAAAATCTTTAAAATATTTCTTTTTTACTACAATGTAGGATATTCAATTGTTCACACAGTTCATTTTTATGTGTAGGTGGAATACATAGTAGACAGTGACAGTGGCGGATCCAGGGGGCCCGGGCCCCCCCCCCCCCCCCCTGAGAAAAAAAAGTAGGAAAAAAAAGGGGGAAGGAAAAAAAAAAAAGGAAAAAAAGGAAGGGAAAAAAAAAAAGGAAAAAAAGGAAGGACAAAAAAAAAGGAGGACAAAAAAAAGGAGGACAAAAAAAAGAAGGAAAAAAAAAGAAGGAAAAAAAAAGAAGGAAAAAAAAAGGTAGAAAAAAAAGAGAGAGAGAGAGGACAATTAAAGGAAAGAGGAGAGAAAGGGAAAGAAAGAAGAGGAAGAAGAAAAGAAAAGGGGGAAGAAGGAGATCGGGGGGGGGGGGGCAAAAGGGCCTCGCCTCCCGGGCTGTTGCCACTCCCCCCCCCCCCCCCCATCAAAAAAATTAGAGAGAAGGAAGGAAATGAAAAGAAAAAAGGAAAAGAGGAGATAAAGGGAGGGAAAATTGAGGAAGAAGAAAAGAAAAGAAGGGGGTATCAGTTGCAATTTTCCCGCCAACAAGTTGTGGATCGGGGTGGGGGTGGGGCAAAAGGCCCTTGCCTCCCCCCGCCCCTGCTTGAAAGGAAAAAAGTAGAGCTAAAAGGGACCGAAAAAGAGAAAGAAGAAAAAAAAAAAGAAAAAAAAAAGGAGAAATAGATCACTTGCGGTTAATCCCGCCAACAACGTGTGGAGAAGAGTGGGGACCAAAAGGACCTTGCCCCCCCCCCACCCCAAGCAAACCTAAATGAGAGAGAAGGAAGGGAAGGGAAAGAGGAGAGAAAGAGACAGAAAAAAGAGAAAGAAGAAAGGTAGGGGAGATCAGTTGTGATTTTTCCGCCAACAAAGAGTAGATAAGGGGAGGGGGAGCGGGGCACTGGCGTACTGATCGGGGAGGTTCTTGGGGAAATAATTTTTTTTTTCCTAATTCCAAAGCGGTGGTTTACACATAATGCTGAAATGACATAATTTCAGAGATTTTTCCTAATTTTTTTAGTAAATTATACTTTTTATGCGTTTTTTGTAAGATGACAAATTCCTAAATTTACAGCCAGGCAAGAAATATGCTTCTTGAGATGCCCCCCCCCCCCCCCACTTTTTCGAAAAAGAATATTAAAGAGAAATATAAATAAAGAGAGCAAGAAAGAAAGAATAGTTAATTGCCAGTGTCACAACAAAAAAAGGTTTCAAAAAATGCTCATCTGACTGTTATTAAACGCCTAAAACCCCTGAGCTTCCGGGGGCTCTGCCCGCGGGACCCAACCAAGGGCCCCAAGACAGGCCCCTTGATACTCATCTGACCGTAATTAAGTGCCTAAAACCCTTGAGCTTCCGGGGGATTCGCCCGCCATCTTACAACAAACGCATAAAAAGTATAATTTACTAAAAAATTAGGAAAAATCTCTGAAATTATGTCATTTCAGCATTATGTGTAAACCACCGCATTGAATTTGGAAAAAACCACGTTAATTTTTTTAATTCCCCGAGAACCTCCTCGATCAGTACGCCAGTGCCCCGCTCCCCCCCCCCCCCCCCCCATCTACACTTTGTTGGCGGAAAAATCGCAACTGATCTCCCCTACCTTTCTTCTTTCTCTTTTTCTGTCCCTTTCTCTCCTCTTTCCCTTCCCTTCCTTCTCCTCCTCAGTAGTCATACCATTGGTGGTGATATCTGATGTTGGTAGAGCAGTAGTTGTCATAGCTGAGGTGATTCCCCCAGTTGTTCCCGATTCAGTTGTCTCCTCCTCAGCAGTTAGACCATTGTTTGTGATATCTGATGTTGGTAGAGCAGTAGATGTCATATCTGAGGTGAATCCTTCTGTTGCTCCTGATTCAGTTGTCTCCTCCTCAGGAGTCAGACCATTGGTGGTGATATCTGATGTTGGTAGAGCAGTAGATGTCATATCTGAGGTGATTCCCTCAGTTGTTCCTGATTCAGTTGTCTCCTCCTCAGTAGTTAGACCATTGGTTGTAATATCTGATGTTGGTAGAGCAGTAGATGTCATATCTGAGGTGAATCCTTCTGTTGCTCCTGATTCAGTTGTCTCCTCCTCAGTAGTCAGACCATTGGTTGTAATATCTGATGTTGGTAGAGCAGTAGATGTCATATCTGAGGTGATTCCCCAAGTTGTTCCTGATTCAGCTGTCTCCTCCTCAGTAGTTAGACCATTGGTTGTGATATCTGATGTTAGTAGAGCAGTAGATGTCATATCTGAGGTGATTCCCCAAGTTGTTCCTGATTCAGTTGTCTCCTCCTCAGTAGTCAGACCATTGGTTGTGACTGTTAAGGAAGCAGTTGATGTATTACATCTGAGGTAATTCCCTCAGTTGTTTGTCAACACTATAAGAGTATGTAGAAAATTATTTAAAAACATTTGGCTAAAGATGTATGAAATAATTCGGTGCAGTGTTTAAAGACGTGTTTACCAATGGAGTAGTTATCATGGTAATACCTGAAATTGGGTCATTGGTTGGACTAAACGTAGCATTACCTAGGAAAACAAAAGAATATTGCATTATTTGCTTAAACATAGGCATGTGTTTCAATTCACTTGTGCCTGTTAATCAGTACGAATAAAGAAATATACAATCACACATATATGCACACACATACTCTTCTCAACACTATTAATTAAGAGTATGTAGAAAATTATTTTTAAATATTTGTTTAAAGTTTAAGATATGAAATAATGAAGGATAGTTTGGTGATGAAATCGACCATGTTTCTACAACAGTCAGGTTTACTACTGAAACTTTAGTAGTGTAAAGAAATAAACTAAGTACAATAATATGATGATAAATTTTGTCTGTTTAAATGAAAGAAGAACATGCGGATCATCAAATTGGTTCAAGTCATAGATTTAAATTCTTGAAAAAAATCTATTTCATTTACTTTTATTTACTGCAATTGCACTTTGCCATAATGTCCAACATTATTTTTGCTCATATGTTTGTATTGTATTTTTTCCGGTGTATGGTAATTTTGACGTCAAATTCATTTGGGTATTACCATACAAACAGACATACTGAAAAACAGCCTTTGGGGCTGAAATCGACCATGTTTCTCCAACAGTCAGGTTTACTACTGAAAATTTAGTAGTGTAAAAAGAAAACCCATGTACAATAATGTGATGAATTTTGTCTGTTAAGATGATTAAAGGAAACCTCACCCCAAGAAATAACTTATAACTTAAAATAATTATTCTGAGAGATTTATTGTATTCTTGCCCATTAATCTACATGATACCCCACCAAAGCGTATGTGAGACGTATATAAAACAAGATATTCTTTGCATAATGTACAGTTTCTCAGTACAACATAGGCATCGCCATTTGCTCGATATCACAGACCTAATATGCAAAGTCGTTTATCAAGCAAATGTATTCAAATCTATAGACGAATCGTCTGGTTTCTCTCATGAATGAAATGTCAAAGCTTCCATGCTTTGCGCGGGAGGGGGGAGGGGAAAACTGAATTCAGAAAAGGATTAAGAGTCGAGAACGGTAAAACAAATCGTCTTCTTTCTCTTATGATTTAATGAAACATAAAAGCTTCCGCGCTTTGCGCGGAGGGGCCGGGGAGGAACTGAATTCAGACGAGGATTAAGAGTCGAGAACGGTACAACGAATCGTCTTCTTTCTCTAATGATTTAATGAAATGTAAAAGCTTCCGCGCAAAGGGGAAAACTGAATTCAGACAAGGATTAAGAGTCGAGAACGGTACAACAAATCATTCTCTTTCTCTTATGATTTAATGAAACTTAAAAGCTTCGGCGCTTTGTGGAGGGGCAAATCGCCCTTCTCTGCACCCCCCCCCCCCCCCATTACGTCAATGCTAGTCACCATTACGTACCAATATGTGGCTCGCATAATTTCAAATTCGGGCCCCCCCCCCAAGAAATCCTTGATCCGCGCCTGGACAGTGATAGATAAACATTTAAATTTAATCTAGGCCTATCAACAGTGATAAACGTTTGTTCAATGTTACTTACCCCCAACTGCAATGTGGATGAGGGATGTCATCCAAAGAATGAGGAGAAGCTGGACAACTGAGTGCGTTTTCCCGAAACACTTCTTCATTTTCATTCCGTTCTTGCCACTGGGATTAAAATTAAAAAAACTGATCATGTTAACAATAAAAAGATTTGTAATATCATAATGATAATGATATTAATAATAATAATTATAGTGATAACAATAATGATAATAATATTTGGATAATGATAATTGGACAGAGGATACAAGGCGCTGTTTCCTAATAAATCAATAAATTAAAATGCATACTGGTACACTGTAGAGGTTTGTTTTCAGATGTTTTATGAAGAAGTCAAGTATTATTTCTTAGAAATGCAGGGAGTTCATTCCATAGGCGTGGGGCAATGGATGGAAAAGGTTCGAATCCAGGCTGTTTTATAAAGGTCAAGATCTACTTTTTTATTTAATTCTCCATTTACTAGAATATATTGGATTAGAAAATCAGCAAATATTTATTTCATATGGAAGTATCTTAAACTTAAAGGGGAAGTCCAGCCTGATGTAACCAGAAATAGAGAGATTAAGCAAAGATTGACATGTTAACATAGTGAAAGCAGAGATATGTAACATGTTCTGGTGAAAGATTGAGCGAATTCCAATTAAAGTCTTTTTTTTTTTTTTTTTTTTATAATCCGATCGAACAAACACTAATTAGCAACTCTGTGACGTATCTTGTAAGGTCCCCCCTCCCATTTGCCAGATGTACCGAAAACTTCATAAAAATTCACTTATTTCTAAAAAGGGTATCAATCACACATGCACCCGAGATATAATCATTGCACATGTGTTTTAAAAACCGCTATATGAAACAAGGGAACACAAGCTATTGACATTTTAGAAAATTTTCAGTATGTAGCAAATGGGAGAGGACCCCATAATGATAAATCAAAGAGTTGCCAATCGGTGACTTTCTTGTTTTAATCAGATTGTTCTCAAATCTTTGCTGATCTTTTTCTCATTTTCCAACCAAATCATGGTGAATTTCCCCCTTTTTTTCTGTGAACAAAAAACAAATTCAGGTTTTTAACCTGTCTTTTCACACTCAACAATTCAACCCCGCCACCCCTGGATATTTATTTATCAAACTATAGTGTGACAATGGCACTTCAAAGCCATTCATACCTTTCATTTAGTTCTAGCCTGAAATAAATTCCTTAATACTTTAAGAAGTGGTGCGAGGAGCCAAAACATATGATGGGTTTGGCCAGGAAGAATTAATTTTTGTTCTTAAGTGCCAGAAACACAGTGCATACGACTCAGATATTACTATGTTGGATTGGGGCAGGGAGGGGGACAGCTTTGTAATTATTTTTGTATTCATTGAATTTATTTCTCAAAACTCCAAAAGCATTTTCCATAGTCATAGTTTATACAAATTGAAACATACCGTAATCATAACAAAGCTTTTTTACCATTTTATAAACGAACTTACACAACATGATTTATTAACGTATAGGACTAGAATATATCACAATTCAAAAATTATATTACAATAGGACAATATTACTGCACTACACAGTTATGTCATTCCCAAAACAAGCATTGCTTTGTTTCTAGATATTATTATACAGAATCAAAAATACGAGTTTTTCTTTTATTAAAATACACAATCAATCTGAAAACCCTCTCCCTTCCTTTCCTTCTCTCTATTAAACTCCTTGGACTTATCCCTGTAAATTTCAGCCATTGATTTGACATCTTTGACCTTTGATCCACTTACAAAAAGCATCAAGTTTGTAGTTCATATCTCAAGTGGTTCATGATATATTACAATGAAGAGAAAGCAGGACGGACGAACAACCGAAACATAATGCCTCTGGCACCACCTTTGGTGGGCGGAGGCATGAAACATTATGAAATTTGGAAAGTTGTAATCACTTTATGTATGGGAACTTCAAATTGGCTGAATCGGCAATGTCACTGGGATGCAGTGCCTGACAAATTTTCTATTTGTTCTGATTCTGACAAACACAAAGACTAAATTGTAAATTTCTTTCAAAATGTCAGACTAGGGAGTGTCTCTTTTTTTTAGAGGACCTATTAGGATTTCAAATATGCACTATCTTCAATTAAGTAGGACCTCAAGGGAAAAATGCAATTGAAAGAAAAGTAGAAATTAATGAAACCAAATATTTATTGTATTTTAACCAATACCATGTATCTCATTTCAAAAGGTTTCACACACAGTAATTAAAGGAATCTTCTGAAAGACATAACTTAAAGGTAAAGACCAGTTTGGTCATGCGATGGCATTGTGAAAGAAACGTTGTGGAATCGATCAGAAAAGGTTGATCATCTAGCATTTAAGTATTGGTGTGTACTGCAAGATTCTGGAATCATGAAAATGATAAGAAATTTGGCCCAGTCTTTGTAAAGTTACGAGCACTGTACACATAAAGATGTATATGGGACGATATGCACGACACATGCCTTTATTTCTCACAGACCATGTAGATAAACTAATTTACCAAATATATCAATTGGTAGGCGGTTTCACGGCAAAATTGTTATCATCATGTATTAGTCAAAACATATTCTTTCACATGATTGGTAATAATTCTAAACCGTCGCGAACTCAAAGGAAAAAAACTTGGTATTGACGAAGATCTGACAAAGGCAAATGCTGCCCTCTTACGAAAAACAAAAGACTGTGCGAAGGTTCTGTCTGCCTGGACGTCAGACGGTAGGGTCATTGCCCTACTCCCTGCGTCTGGGGGAAAGACTATGAAAAAACTCATCACCTGTGAAGAGGACTTGGACTTAATTTGACATATTTTTTAATACTAAACATTAACTCCATACCTTCATGCTCCAGTTTTTTTAGGTAATGGATATTCTGATATTCGAATTAATATAATATACACGAGTAATGATGATATTGATGCATTCCAGGACTACTCTGCTCTTATTTACAGTTTCAGTTTATTGGAATCTTATCTCTCTTTTTTAATATTGTAAATTGTTTTTGTAAATTTCTAATGCCAATATGTATACTGTAATATGTTTTATGATGATTTCTTTCTTACGTTGCTCTACTATTTCCACTATTCTATGTGTAAAAAGTGTGTTTACTCGACACCATGACGGAATCTCGTGATGTCTAATCTCGGATGATCTCGGATGATCCCCATGATACATGTAATAAACATTTCTCCAAATATCTTTCAAATCCTTGTTCTTCTTCAATATTTTTTCAACCGATTGTTGAAAGTGAAATTATATCCATTGTTGACAAATTTAAAAATGATACTTCTTCTGGTTTCGACCACATAGATGTAAAAGTAGTTAAGAAAGTAATACCATTTATTTGTAAACCATTGAGTCAAATTTTTAACATGTCAATGTCGACAGGTCTTGTTCCAGATAATCTCAAAGTAGCTAAAGTTATACCAGTTTTTAAATCGGGGTCAAAAGAATGTATGTCGAATTATAGACCAATTTCTGTACTTACTGTTTTCTCAAAAATAATCGAAAAATGTGTTTTCAGTAGAATTTCCAATTTTTTATCTTCCAACAACTTATTAAATAGCACTCAATATGGATTTAGAGAGGGTCTGTCAACATCATTAGCAATTACAAAATTCACTCAAGATATTACAAATTCCATTGAAATTAAAAAAACAACAGTCGGTGTATTTTTAGATATGTCAAAAGCATTTGATACAATAGACCATAATATTTTAATGCACAAATTATATCATATTGGCATACGAGGTGTTCCCCATAAATGGATTGAAAATTATCTTAGCAATAGAAAACAATATGTTACAATTAATTCTACAGACTCAAATATGCTCAATGTTGTTTGCGGGGTTCCACAGGGTTCTATCCTCGGTCCATTATTATTTCTAATTTACATAAATGATATTCAGTGTTCATCAAATGTCCTAAGTTTTATACAGTTTGCCGACGATACAAGTATTTTTTTTACCCATAAAGATATTCCCCTTATTAATACCACGTTTAATAAAGAATTACAAAATGTATATCAGTGGTTAAAATGTAATAAGTTAATTATAAATATGTCTAAAACTAACTATATGGTTTTTAGCAATATGAATTATAATATTGATGATATAAGAATCCATATGAACAAATCCCAACTATTACATACAAATCATACCAAATTTTTAGGTGTTCATATAGATGAATCCATGTCTTGGAAATATCATTTAGGAGATGTTTGTTCTAAAATTTCTCAAGTTGTTGGTATCCTATATCGCCTGCGCAATTTATTACCCGAAAAAATTCTTCTTACTATTTACAATACCCTTTTCCTACCCCACATATCATACTGTAATATAAATTGGGGTGGCTGTCCTAAGTCATATTCTGATAGAGTCTTTAAACTACAAAAAAAAGCCATTCGCCTGATATCAAAATCCTCGTATAACTCTCATTCTGCTCCGCTATTTCATAAGCTCAATGTATTAAGCCTATCCGATATTTGTCAGCTACAAACTGGTATGTTCATGTATAAATGTAAAAATCGCTTATTCCCTCGTTATATTACTGATCTATTTCCTATAAATGCAAGTATTCACTCTTATCAAACTCGGTCTTCTAATGATTTTCATTTCCCCAAAATACGTACATCCTATGCAAAATCTACTTTATTTTTTACCGGCCCAAAACTGTGGAGTTCTTTACCAAATGAAATAAAAAACTCAGTGTCACTCCAATCTTTCAAACGCAAACTAAAAAAACACTTGATAAATTCATACCGTAATCAACTACAACGTTAGTAGAGCTTCTTAACCCGTCCTTTCTTTCTTTATATACAAATTTACTTTGCTTTTTTTTTTTGTTTAACGCAATTATTCAATTGTTATTTAATGTATTAAGATTATATTTAATTGATCATGATGGGTGCCAACGCACTTAAGACTATTTTCCTGTCTTCCAGTTGGCTCCCTCCGCAATAATAACATGTTCTATATCATTACACTTTAATCAATCACTTATGCTCTTTGTCAATGTTACTGTAAATGTTCACATTTTGTTTTGGTATTTGTTGTTGTTATTGTATATACATGTATATATCTGTTATATGTAATGTACATCTTTGTACTTTTATTATTGTGGAAAATAAATGAACTGAACTGAAAAAAAATAAGAGCTTCCATTTCATTTTTTGAAATTGGGGCGTTTCCAATACTGGTGTAAAACAAAACATGTCACGAGAGAGATAATTATACAACGCCAACTCCTTGAGCCCAAGAGACAAGACTGGGGGAATCACCTCTCCCCCCCCCCCCACTCCGGGGTCAGAGAGACAGCATTCGTGTTCCCCAAATCTCTGGTAAAGGGGTACTTTACACACGACAAAGTCTATCCGTAATACACACAAATCTGATCCATATTGACTTTACACACCGGAGATAGGGGGGGGGGGGTGCTTTCAAAAGGAGTGGACATGCATATGCGTCACCTAAATAACACTGAGTGGGGGGGGGGAGGGGAGATCTATGATTCACTATTCTTGAGTGTTCTCACGAGACCCACAAGCTCCCTGAAAAGTCCCACTTTTTCTCTCTTGACCTCAAGAAGTTCCCTCTCCACGAGCAGCCCCTCTCTCTCTCTCTATCTAAAATTTCAACCATACAAGCGCTCGTGGAAGGTGCATTGATACTGCTACGATTGGTAATATAGTAGTACTACTAGTACTAGTAGCAATACTACCAATACTTCTTGTACTTGTACTACTAGCAGCCATGCCCTGGAACATGGATTCAGCCACTTCATCTTCATTACTGGAGCTCTGTTTTAGAAGTAGATTTGAGAACAAAAGAAGAATAAAAGAAATCATACCTAAATGTCAATGAATTACACATAAGTTTGGTGCTAATTAGGGGGAAAAACAACCATGTTAATTTGGGGAAACAAAAGAGTTCAGTGACCATGATAGAATGCTAAAGAATGTGAATACAAAATTTGAAATGAATCAAAATAGAAAAAGGGCCCTAGGAAGCAATCGCAAGCCGTACATGCAAAACAATTGGGATTGGGGGGGGGGGTCAAGAAGAAGAAGAACTAATAAAAATGCAAATTAGTACAAGGCATTGATCGCTTGTAGGCGACAATGAAACAATGGCGTATTGGTAATGTCTCTGTGATATATGAATCACATATTTATATCTCATTTATAACAGGATACAATATTTAATGAAATAATAAATTTCCAACACTTAGACTGAGCTTGATTTTTACATTTTACAAAAGGACCTGCAGTAACTTTATAACAGGATACAATATTTAATGAAATAATAAATTTCCAACACTTAGACTGAGCTTGATTTTTACATTTTACAAAAGGACCTGCAGTAACTTTATAACAGGATACAATATTTAATGAAATAATAAATTTCCAACACTTAGACTGAGCTTGATTTTTACATTTTACAAAAGGACCTGCAGTAACATGCTTTCCATAAGGTGTTTAGGTTTCATATTCTAGGATGGATTAATTGTAGGAGCAGAATTACCGCTGTTAACTGGCTGAATCCAGCTTCCACTTCTTGGCCCATGATGCCTGATTGTGCCTCGGGTGCCTGTGCTTCCAGCACTACCTCAAAGATGGGATGATTAGTCGGTGCCTGCCCTTCACCTGTGTGAAGAACAATAAATAGAAGGACTTGGTTTCATGTTTTTGGTCATAACAATCTTCCTTTTTTTAATTAATATTGTAACTCACCAGATGGATTATAAAACTAGAAATAGCATATGAGGAATTATAGTGATAAATGCATTGACCGATCTTGGTAATTTTCACTGTATGATTCTACTTTGTAAAAGTTTACCGGTATATCAATGCATACTACAAATAAAATTACAAAATATTTTTTTTTTTTTTTTTTTTAAATAACCCCCTCAAAGAAAGATTGGAAACTGAAGTATTATTTCAATGCACAGTTAAACAAGAGCAGTGACTTTTGCAACCTTTTCACTTGACCTTGATTTTGATCTACTGCACATTTTTGATCTACTGATTCCATGACTGAAAAATCATAACAACAGGGGTCTCATTTAAAGTGACTCAGTAACATTGCCTCAGATTCTGAAGCGAATTCCTGGAGTTAGGTCATGCTGCAATCATAATTATAAACATTTAGGTCAGTCAGGAATCCCATGACTTTTACAAGCCGATCGCCTGTCTGCATGATTATGATTGGAAATCGGAATCAAATTTTGTGTTTTCCTAATGGTTTTTATAACACTACAGTCTATTAGGGAAAATGAGTATGGTATTAACTGGTCACTCAAAGATTTTTACCTTTTTGAGGCACTTCATGATCAGTTTGAAGCGCAATTTTTTTTAGGGCTTCAATATTACACCATATCACAGATACTAATAACATGAAGAGTCATGCATCTCAGATTTAACATTGTTAAACAAAGCCTTTAAACAAGGGAAACGCTCTCGGTGGTCTCGCCTGCATTACGCAATTCGATATGATAAAAAATTGAGGTTGGAACATTATTCATACTGTAGGCAGGGTGGCCCCATTAGCAGGCCCCAAAAAATGAAATCCTCTAAATATAATCACATTTTGAAGTGAATATTGACTAAGAATCATCAGAAGAATTATTTACTATTAAATGTACCACGATCGATAACTTGAATGAAATATGAACAAATTAATTTAAAAAACTATTAATTCTCATATTAAGTTGTGAAAATATAATCCAAGTCTACTGACCTTTGACCTAGTGACCTGGAATTTGTGTCATATGATTTGTGATACTTGATAACCCTTGGGTACAAGTTTCATGGAATTTGAAAAATCAATTTTGAAAATATGCTAAAAAATTCAAAATCTTGATGTTGATGCCACAACAAAGTCTAAGTTTATTGACCTAAAATGACCTTTGACCTTAACTTAGTGACCTGAAATACTACTCACATGATTGGGGATACTTGATAACCCTATAGTCCAAGTTTCATTGACTAAGAACTTATACTTTCAAAATTATATCAAAAATTAAAAAACTTAACCTTAGGTTAAGTTTTAGATGTTGACGCCGCCGCCGTCGCCTCCGCCGTCACCGGAAAAGCGGCGCCTATGTCTCGCCTTTTTGCTACGCAGGCGAGACAAAAAACTAGATGGAACTTTGACTGCGCGCAATCGAAAATGATGCCTCCGTCATAGAGCAATTTTACAAACCAAAACAGAAGTAATTTTTCAAATTCAAGTTTGATTGTAATCCATTGACAGGTTCTCAGAATATTGTGATTACAAGCTATTTCTGATATGACCCTTTGATCTATGACCTCATGACCCCAACATCTACTCAGTTCATTGGCTCTGCAAGAAACAAACATATCTTGAGTTTCATGGTAATCTGTCTTATCTGTTGTAATGATAATGTGATCACAAGCTATTTTTGCATACATAATGAGCTCTGTGACCTTTCACCTATGACCTCGTGACCCCCAAATCTAATCAATTAATTGGCTCTGCAAGATACATACATGACCTACTGTAAGTAGGGCAGGAATCCATCAATCAGTTCTTGAGATAACGCGATCACAAGCTATTTTTGCATACATAATGAGCCATGTGACCTTTGACCTTTGACCTCGTGACCCCAAAATCTAATCAATTCATTGGCTCTGCAATTTATATACATAACCAATGTTTGGCAAGAATCCATCAGTCGGTTCTTGAGATAACGGGATCCCGGGAACGGGACGTACGGTACGGACAGACGGACGGACAACCCGAAGACATAGTGCCTCCGGATACTTCGTAACGGAGGCATAAAAAAGGATACACTTTCTTAATAATACTAAATATAGTGAATTATTATGCCACTATGATAGACATAATCCATCATAATTTAGTTTCCAAACTTTCTTTGAGGGATTTAGTTTACAGTACATACCTTCACTAAGCAATGTCCAGCCCTTCTGAATAGTTTTTTCTCGATTGTCCTTCACAAAACTACATAGAACTTTGTTCTCGTCATGAGTCCAATTTGGTTTCCTTCCCTAAAAACAAGATTTAAAATGAAATAATATTAATTTAAACAGTGAGTGTAATGTACACAATGTACAGTACTACTAATGCATGCCATTTCCTGTTATTATCATTTCAATGAAACAATATGTTACATTACATATATATGCAATTTTTGTCACAACAGATTTGAGGTTGAAACACCACAAAATCCAATAACTTCTTGTATTGGTACGGTGCTGCAAAATTGATTAACAATTTAGGATTTTAAGGAATCACTTGTCAACCTTTTTATATACACAATCTTGATGAGGGGAAATCAAATGTCACGATTGTTTTGTGGTCAGACAACTGTCTTTGTCTGATCATCCTTATATATGTATTTGAAGTTATAACAAAACAGGTAATTTTTTGGTTAAATTGTCATTGTAACATTGTTTCTGATTGATCTCGTTAAAAATAAAATCTAATTTGTTGGCAGAGAAGCCAGTGACCCAATTCAAAAACACTTTTGTACTGCCTATTTGTTTATGTACACATAGAGGAACATTGAAAATAATGTGACTATAAAACATATTCACTCCTAATATTTCTTTGATAATAAAATTGTTCCATTCTTAGGAATAAAATCATGAACTCAATGTTAATGCAATGTAAAAATTTAGTAAGCCAATAGGGCTCATCTTTTTACCATCGGCAATCCCCCCCCCCCCCCCAAATTCGACAAATAGCTGTCGGTACCTTATCAAAGGCCTTCATGAAGTCTATTTAGACACAACATCAATCAGCCGCCACATTCCAAAATGCTTTTCTATTCATCTATTTAAAGAATAAAGGAACTGTAAAATGTGTCATTTTTATTATTGTCCAAATAAATCTTTGGATGCTGCAAACACAATCTACTAACCATTTTTGAAGCTATTCACACGCACCACTGCAAGACTGAAAAGTGGAGAGGTGAAAAGAAAACAACATGAAAAAAAAAACCCAGAAAACTTAAGATATGAACACTATGAGCATTATATTATTTACACCAAACATATGCACATACAAACATGTACTGGAAACTAAAATGATTACAAAGCCTGACGTATATAGTCCATCAAACACAATAAAACTAAGCCTGTGACTCTGCTGATATAGCTATTGGCTACCAAAGAGGGCTCAAATATAGAAGAAAAAAAATTTGTAATATTCCTTGTTTTATCCAACATCCATTGCAAGAATAATGAAGAGATAAAGGACCTTGGACAAAGTTATGGGTTAATTTCAGATGTATTTCCTGATAGTTTACATAATTTACATGTCCTTTTTTTGTAATTAAAGATTATGATTATAAATCCTGTAAAGGTTCCAGCATTTATTCTTTTCAAGGCAATGGTACTGGTAGAGTTATTGATCTTCTGTTGTTTTACTTCGGCACTGTGCCCCATAGAATACACTGCTATCCAAGTCAGCTCAGAAACGGAGATTCATGTTTCCATCCGTATTAGGACAATTACCAGCGGGACAATTACCAGCGGGGCAATTACCCTTAAGAAAATTACCCCCTCCCCCCCCCCCCCAGGACAATTATCCCCAACCCCTGAAAACTACTCCTTGGACATAGAATATACTGCTATCCAAGTCACCTCAGAGTCAGAGACTGAGATTCATGTTTTCATCCGTATCAGGACAATTACCTCCTGGATAATCACCCCAAGAAAAACTATACCCCCCCCCCCCCCTCCTAGAAAAATTACACCCCTAAAGACTATGACCCCCAGGACAATTACCCCTCCCACAAGGACAACCACCCGAGGAATATAACCCACCCCCACTCAAAAATCCCCCCTGTACATTAAAGGGGAAGTCTACCATGATAATAAGTTGGTTTAATAAAAAAGTTTTTTTTTTTTTTTTTTGGGGGGGGGGTAATTACTTGGGGGGGGGGGGAGTAATTGTGTTGGGGGTTATTATGTTCTGTCAATGTTCAAGGTTGATGTTCAGCCAAATAAAGATGACAAATAAAGACGTATTCGTAACTTTAAAACTACATGGTGGTAGCATGGACTTTATTCGATGAAGGCATCGATGGAAACTGCGCGCGGTACATTGGGCAATGCGTATACATAAAATGACAAGTCAAGACATGAATAGTCTTAATTTCAGACGTCATACATAACATTCCTCCCCCTTTTAGTGAATTACATGGGTACATCAAAATGAAATACATGTATCAAACTGGCATGCAGACTAGGGCAGGACTATATAACAATATGGTCTTATTTTCTCAAAAAATGTTTGTATAGAGATGTGACACTGGCAAGATAGGAATGTACTCACACAACTTGATTCTATTAAAAAAATCCTATTCCATGTATAACATAAACTAGCAACATTGCTTGTATGCATGTAAATACAACAACACAAAATGTTCACTGTTATAACAACCTATTTTTACTGATCTAAGTTTTACTTGAAGGTTGTTTGACACCCAAGGAACAACACTTTTCCTCCGTGAAAATAGTCAACATATGCATTATTTGATGCATTACTCTATGCAGTACTTTATGCATTACTTTATGCATGAAAACTTTACATGGCAAGAAAATAAAACAAAATCCTTGTACTTTGATACAAAACTGATTGGATCCAAACTTTATCAACTAACTTATCTCCTGGCATAATAAAGAACAGACCAAAATAAGTGACATTTTCTCCATGAAAATCGTGTAGTATTTTTGATAAAATGTGGAACAATTTACACTGTTACTTTTAAAACATCAACACTTGTGATGAATGCACCAAATTAGCTTTCATCGCTAAAGAAAATAAATGTTTACCTTTTAATCATTGCCTTATAATTATGTAACACATATAAACAACATCTGTTGAACTTTTGCAGACTTATGCAATACAAGATTAAAAATGTTTAACCCCATAACAAATAGAGTTTGATCTACAATAGTTTCACTTGGCATAAATATAATTATCTTGCAAAATAGTTCTTTACTGCTTTGCATTGGCTTTTAGTATGTCCAATTTCCTGGCATTGATAGCATTGCTCTTTCTGAAACGGACAGGATTGATGAACATGTCTTGTCGATCCACAACGCCAACACCTTAACTTCTGGTCAGTCCACTGACCTGTGGGCTTTTCCTTCTCAGTAAGCTTGGAATTCCACTTGCTTGAAGACCTTTCTTTCATCTGCGTGGTTCTTAACTGGTGAACCTCTTTGTCTTCACTACCATTGTCACTGGAGTGCAATTGTTCAACATCTCTATTAGCTATCTCCATGGCCATGGCTACTTTCAACGCTTTATCAAATGTAAGCTCTGATTCACTAAGAAGCTTTCTTTGTGTAGCTTTGTCCTTACAACCAACTACAAGGCGATCTCGAAGCATGCTATTCAATTCTTTAAACTTGCATCCTTCACTCAACTGGCGTAAACGAGCAACAAATTGCGGGATTGTTTCACGTGATTCTTGAACACAAGTATAAAACTTATACCTTTGGACTATTTCAGTTGGTTGGGGGGCAAAATGTTCAGACAGGGTATCCTTACATACTTGGTAAGTTTTATCAATTGGTTTGTTGGGCTGCAACAATGCACGTAATGTGGCATAGGATTTACTTCCTAATCCTGATAAGAATATACCCTTCTTCTTTGCATCTGCTGTAATATCATTAGCTATAAACCATGACTCAAGAACCTCAATCCAATCTTCAAATTTATACCCTGAGTCCAACTGAGGGACATTACCAAACATTTGTGCTGCCATGTTTATGTAAGGCGCATTAAACTTGTAATGAACAACTTTATACCATAACAAATACTTGCATAAATATTTGACTTGAAATACCAATACCAAACAACAACAACATTTGGGCTCTTTCCACTTCCACACATGTATCTAACACATACACATTTCTTTGACAAGCAATTTACAACTGAAGAACAAAATTCTTGACTTAGACCTGGACTAGACTGCAAAGACTAGACGTAATTATTGTCTGATTGTTAATAGGTTCTACTGTTATTTACACTGTAAAAACCCGAGACTAATGTCTAACTCTAAACTTGTAGACCTACTTAGATCCACATCTTCACACTTGAATTACACTTCAACTTGTAATGGTACTAGTCCTGGTCTGGGACTGGTCCTTACACTCAGTTACAAAACAGATTCATCATAACAATCGACAATATTATCAAATGAGTTCTAAATGTTTATTTGCTTGCATCAACATCACCATCACTTCATGATGAGTGGTCTGGCTTTCACTTGGGTGGGTTGCTACTAGTCCGAAACTATGAACTGAGTCAACTGACACTGTCACTGAACTGGATCCTGGTCCTAAATTGAAGGCAATCACGAAGTAACAACTTCCTGTATTTCAATTTTAAGGCTAAAACAAAACACTTCCTCCTCTAGTCTACGCTGCAGTAGATCTAGATACAGGAACCTGGATTCTGAAACAATGTATGCCGGGCGGGGCTGGCTGGGCGGGGCTGGCTGGGCTGGGCTGGCTGGGCTGGGCTGGCTGGGCTGGGCTGGCTGGCGGGCTGGGCTGGCTGGCTGGCGGGCTGGCTGGCTGGCCATGGGCTGGGCTGAATTGGCTTGCTGGCTGGCTGGGCAGGGCTGGGCTGGCTGGGCTGGGCTGGCTGGCTGGCTTGGCTGGCTGGCTTGGCTGGCTGGCTGGGCGGGGCTGGCTGGGCTGGGCTGGGCTGGGCTGGCTGGGCTGGCTGGCGGGCTGGGCTGGCTGGGCTGGCTGGCGGGCTGGGCTGGCTGGCTGGCGGGCTGGCTGGCTGACCATGGGCTGGGCCTTGAACTTGGTTGGAGCTTTCATGGGCTTGGCTACTGCCACTGAGTTGCATGGCCTACTGTAGTACTACTGCAGCACTGCCACTGGTTGATCGTCAAGTTGAAAGTTAGGCTGGGGGCATCCATTCACCATTCATCCAACTGCGGCTAATAAAGTTAAACTGATGAGGCAACATCAGCAAAACAAATACTCGCTCACCTACGATCAACGGCTGGATCTCCTGGCTAAAGAGTTTTTCATCCAAATTAGGCAAACTCAGCTCCATTAGTTCGGTTCATTTGCTGAATACATGCTGATGCACAATTCTCCATAGCTGTACGTGCTGTACGGCAAAGCGTTCATAAAAAACTGCACGTGTACAGGCATAATTCTAAACCATGTCGGGTCTCTGCTGGAGAAACTTTTTTCAAGTCTTTATTTCAGCAAACTGCGGCAAACCAAACTAATCATCTCGACCTCGTCGCCAATATTATGTTCTGTCAATGTTCAAGGTTGATGTTCAGCCAAATAAAGATGACAAATAAAGACGTATTCGTAACTTTAAAACTACATGGTGGTAGCATGGACTTTATTCGATGAAGGCATCGATGGAAACTGCGCGCGGTACATTGGGCAATGCGTATACATAAAATGACAAGTCAAGACATGAATAGTCTTAATTTCAGACGTCATACATAACAGGGGTAATTTTCCTAGAACCGTTTCCATAAAGCTTTTCATCATTATACTATAGACCCTTGCTCTGAATATAGTCATCTAGACTAAAGACAATCTAACTTCTAAGATCTATCATGTATTATATTGACACTTGAAAGTTGGAAGTACCATCGACTGAAAATCTAAATTTTTACTCTAGGCCTAGATCTAACTTAGTCTAATTGAAGAAGAGAAATCTAGATCTTAACAGACTAGCAAGTCATAGCTAAGTAAATGATATATGATCAATTTGAAAATCATGTTTAACTAGATGGAATTTTGACTGCGCGCAGTCGAAAATGATGCCTCCGCCAAAGAGCAATTTAAACAAGTTTGGAGTTTAAATCTCTAGTGGTTCTTGAGATATCATGATAACAATCTCAATGTATGGAATTTCATAAGTTGACCTCTGTGACCCTTGACCTTTGACCTACGTGCTCCAAAATCTAATCAGATTGTCTTCCTATGGTGATACACACTATCATTAAGTTTGAAGTTTAAATCTCCAGTGGTTCTTGAGATATTATGATAACAATCTCAATGTATGGAATTTCATAAGTTGACCTCTGTGACCCTTGACCTTTGACCTACGTGCTCCAAAATCTACTCAGATCGTCTTCCTATGGTGATACATACTATCCTTAAGTTTGAAGTTTTTACATCTCCAGTGGTTCTTGAGATATCATGATAACAATCTCAATGTATGGAATTTCATAAGTTGACCTCTATGACCCTTGACCTTTGACCTACGTGCTCCAAAATGTAATCAGATTGTTTTCCTATAGTGATACACACTATCACTAAGTTTGAAGTTTAAATCTCCAGTGGTTCTTGAGATATCATGATAACAATCTCAATGTATGGAATTTCATAAGTTGACCTCTATGACACTTGACCTTTGACATACGTGCTCCAAAATCTAATCAGATCGTCTTCCTATGGTGATACATACTATCCTTAAGTTTGAAGTTTAAATCTCAAATGGTTCTTGAGATATCGCGCTAACAAACTCAATACAAGGAATTTCATAAGTTGACCTCTGTGACCTGTGACCTTTGACCTACGTACTCCAAAATCTAATCAGATCGTCTTCCTATGGTGATAAATACTATTCCCGAGTCTTAAGTTTAAATCTTAAATGGTTCTTGAGATATTGTGATAACGGTCAAACGGGACGGACGTACGGACGGACGGACGGACGGACGGACGGACGGACGGACGGACGTACGGACGGACGGACGTACGGACGGACAACCCGAAAACATGATGCCTCCGGCACCACCTTCGGTGGCGGAGGCATAAAAATAGTGAGTATTTCGTAAGTTTGAACTTAATTTGTCTTTGCCTTTGGTTACTTTTCTCGCCTATAGCTAGCTTTCAGCTTGCAGTGAAAGAGCTTGCAGTGAAAGTGTGTCCATTTTTCTTTCTCCCCCCCCCCCCCATCTCTCAAGCTCTCAGGCTCTCTCTCCCTCTCCATTTCTATATATCCCACGTTATGTCACTCTTATATCGCCCCCTTTTGTATATATATACAGTCTCTTCTCTCCACCCTTTTTCATTACTTAGTTTAGCCATATGTTTATAATCATATGGTTATAGTAATAGTTAATAGTTATTTGCTTCTAGTACTTTAGCGGCTTTGGCGACCATTTCTAATTGTATTAATCTATTATATAGACCTAACCAGGCATGTTTTTTTTATGTTTTTTTGTCTATCTAGATCTAGACCGTCTATATATCTGTTTTGTTTTGAGGGACCTGACCTCTACAAGCTAAGCTTAAAGTAGGTCTCTTCGTCTCTTGATCCTCATAAGTGTTCCTTTTATATACTATACATGTTATAAATTTGTTAAATCGTTTTACATTCATGTTGGAAGAAAGACAAAATAACTTTGAACTTGAACTTGAACATAAAATTAAAATTAAAATTAAGACAAAAGTGCAGCAAACACCAAAAGTAGTTAACAAGGTTCGTCGTATGTTGAAATAGTTTATTACGTGCATCATGTGTGGTTTTGTTTACTTGTATAATTAGCACTCCGCGGGAAGACAAGATACAGGCATAGACTCTACAGTGATTTTTAATAATACACCAAGTGTACCGCATAACATTTCTCCGCTCGGCCTCGGTCGAGAGCCTGGCAGTACCTCCGCTCTCTGGCAACATGTCTGCGATCGCCAATACATATTTACGTATTTCTTTAAAACAGAAGAAGAAAAGTACAGTTCGCTTTCTAATTTCAAATTCAGTAAATGGTAGGCCTATGCAAACATCACATTTTCACTGATAATATACACATCATATTACATCATACAATCATACAAAATATAGTCAAATTTAAGAAGGTGGACTACTTACTTCGCCACAGATAGTTCACAACAAACGTCGTAGATTTTCGTGACGGGCCGCGGGCGGCGGCCGGCGACGCCGGACTTACTAGCTAGCTGATACGCTATTAAAGTAAGGCTAGGCTAGCTGCGCAGACGACAACTTCATATCGATATCGGCATCGCATGCTGGATCGACAGTGATTTACCCTCCTCGATCGGTGAATCATAAATAAAATCACATGAGTGGTCAGTTGGTGTCAGTCATAGGCTGCACTCCAGGGGGAGGAGGGGGGGGGGGGCAATGGGAGAAAATCGCCCCCACATTTTTCAAGTTCCCGAAAAATGCCCCTTTTACATAGGAACTTGCCTCCTTAACTTTGCAGAAGTGCCCCTATTAATTTGTAAAAGTGCCCCTTCCCCTTTTCAACTCTGATAAGTGCCCTTTTATTTTGATACACGCCCCTTTTCCTTTCGACAAGATCACAATTTCCTTTTCAATAAGTGTTCATTTTCCATTCTCATAAGTGTCCTTTTTTAATCTAAGTGCCCCTTTTCACTTTTGATATTAGCCCCTTCACCTCTGACCATTTGGCTTTTCAACTCGGATAGGCGCACTTTATTATTTCGCATGTGCCCCTTTTCCTTTCTAATAAGTGCCCCCATTTAAAAAAAAATGAGCCCCTTTTCCTTCTCAGTCATAATTGCCCCTTTTCATCTCTGGTAAATAAACCTTTTCAGGTACGATAAGTTTCTCCTCTTCACTTCAAATAAGTGCCCCCTTCATCTCCGATAAATGCCCCTTTTCTTTCAACTAATGCACATTTTCCTTCATTTATTATAACTGTCCCTTTTTCATTCTCATAAGGGCCCCTTTGCATACTGGTCATTGCCCCTTTTCAGGTGCTATAAATGCCCCTTTTCACATCTGATAATTTCCCTTTAACAAAGATACATGCCCCTTTGCACTTGTAATAAGGGACCTATCCCAGAACCAATCCCTTTTTTAATAGATTCCCTTTTCACCTTACATAAATGCCGCTATCAAAATCTGATAGGGCCTCTTTTCCGTCGACAAATGCCCATTTCCTATTCTCATAAGTGCATTTTTCATCCCTGGTGAGTGCCTCTTTTTGAAGGTGTAACGGGAGTGCCCCAATTTCACCCCCTAATTACTCTTTGTACTTTGACACGCGCTCCTTTTGATAAAGATTGATTGATTTTTATTCGACAAGCTTCCAACATACAACAATATACAATAATAACAGATCAAAAATAAGTCAGCTTGAACAGGATAACCCACGAAAGCTCGAGAGCTTATTTCCAGTGGGGTCCCTATTTCCAGTGGTAGAAGTAGTAGCAGGTCAAACATTTTGAAAAGTAGACATTTTAGTCATGTTGTTCTTTGAACAAATGGGAAGGTTGTACATGACTTCATTACAGTACCATTGCCGATTCAGCCAATATGAAGTGCCCATACTTAATTACAGTGATTACAAGTTTCAAAAATTATAACTTTCTCATTCTTTGTCCGATTCGTTAAGATTTAACCAGTCTGCTTCTCTGATTTTTATGCTTTCTTTTATGGTCGTTTGCTATTGAGATTGGATTTCCCCTTAAAAGATATGAGTCAATGCCCTTCTGGCTCCATACAGACAATTATAAAACCGTCATCTTTACTCTGAAAACACGCCCTTGTATTTCCAGGGGCCTGTCTCACTAAACAGTACTTAGTGTAACAGGACTTAGTGTCGCTGCGACGCGTCATACACTAAGACGGGTCTTACTGACGTCCTGTTGGTTTCTCAGTTTCACTAAACCGTTCTTTACTAAGTCCTGTGTGCGGCGCATCTTCAACAATGAAACGTCTGGATTTTGATTCTACGAAGCCGAATTTCGTGACCTTCGACCTTGTGTGAAGATAAAAGTATTTTTCCCCCTTAAGTTTTCGTCTGCATCGTCTGGGGCGAAAAAGTGAAAGAAGGCTGAATTTTGTCACTTTAAGTGATTGTTTAACATTATTTCGACTACTGTTGGATACAAATCGGGAAGGTAGGTTATTAAACTTTTTCTTAAGACAACATAGAAGTAAAATATTGAAAGCGAAATGTATGCAGTGGAAGTTTGTGATGGAAGTCATGAAGTTGTATTTGATACCTCGACGAATCGCAGCTGATTAATTGGCAGTGAACCGTGCGTGTGGTGGCGGTAGCGAGCCCGCTGTCAGTCTAGTCTGGGATCGCGGATTACATCAAGCTATTCTCTCATGCACGACCAAACTAAATTCTAGGCCTAGACCTAACCAGTTTTAGGCCTACTACTAGTAGTACTACTACTAGTACTTGAGTCCTAGACTAGTATACTAGATCTAGACCTAGTCTAGACTAGATCTAGTCTAGATAGAGATCTACTTTGTGAAATGTAACTGCTATAAAAAAGAAATTATTTCAGACACTAGACTCTAGATTTCTATAGATTCTAGACCTATTCGCTAGATCTAGACCTAGTCTACATCTAGGCCTAACTAAGCCTTGCTCTGGAACTAATTACTGGTAAAGCTTAGTCATAAGTTAGGCCTATTCATAGTTGCCACGTAGTCTAGTTACATTCAAGCTTTCAGTTTCACATGTCTAGATTCTAGTCTAGGCCTAGATCTAGATTTTATAGATCTAGACTCTAGCCTAGATCTAGAGTCTATTCAATTTCAAGATTAGGCCTAGATCTAGAAAGAAGGTCTTGATCTAGATCTAGAACAGAAGGTCTAGATCTGGACTATTCCATTTACCTTTTGGGACAAATAAACAAAAAACATGTTTCATGTCTGAGTTTTGGAAAAAATGGCAGTGATCAACTGACCCAAGTTTTATTCAGCTTAGGCTAGACTAACTGTTAGACCTCTAGACAGGTAAACATAGTTGGTAGTCAAAAGACAAGCAGGCAATAACATGATGTTATAATTGATGGGCCAATTCATAAAACATAAAACAGACTAGGCCTAGATGATAGATCTAGGCTAGACCTAGATCTAGACCTAATAACTAGCTTTTGTGGTTTGTGGCTACTAGAAACATGAAATGTTTGGAACTGGAGGAAAGGGGGGCAGCAAAGAAGAAAAGGTGAAAGAAAGGTATGCATGGATGTGACAGAGAAATTCACCAAAAGAAGGAAGATTAAATGGGGGGTGGGGGGGGGGGGGGGAGGGTTCATCTGGCGAGGTTAAGGCCAATAAGGGTTAGGGTTAGGGGGAAAAAAAACAGTCTTGAAATCGCTGGGTATGGTAGTTTGTTGAAAAATGGAAAACCTGACACTTAACTTTGCCACCACTACTGCAAAATCCAAGGCTACAATATTCAGGTATTTAAAACAAAGTACAGTTATCCAGTTAAAGCTTTAATCGTAACACGGCAACCTATGTAGACCCTTAGTGCAACCAATCCTAAATATATAATCTGTCTATTTCCACATTATTTCCATGCATAGATCCTGGAAAAGAGCAACACATTCAGAGCAGCTGGTGGCCAAGAGAGGGAATGGCATACATTACGAAAGAAATGGCGAGACATGGCTTCGAAACAAAGCGTATAAAGCCCCAAGGACAGGTGAGTGTAATGCTTAATAGGCGAGATTTGAGTTAGTTGAAACAGTTTTACAGATCAGTGAAGGTTTGCAAAAAATAGGACAATAAATAAGAAAGGGATGGATTTTTATTTGTTTAAATACTTCAAATCTGTGAGTTAAATGGGCAATGCGGTCTCTAAATATAATGTCATGCAGCCCCTCACATTTTATGATTTTCATGATATTGAAAGATTCATAACTTATTTTTTTCTCAAACTTTCATCAAATTCTTTATCTAATTTGTCTGATTATATTAAAACCAATTTAATATTACAGGGACTTCTTCAGTATTGGACGTGTCATCAATGACATATTTAGGGTACTTGCATCATTACAACATTTTTTAGGAAAAGTGATATATTTTCAACTCTTGCTGTAATGTGCCCAAAAATATTGAAAAAGTGTTAACAAATTTGTGTTTCAAGCCGGGTCATGATCGCTTAGACTGATTTTTTTGCTGGTACTATACTTGTATTTGGAAGGCTAAAAATGAAAAATTTGACTCATTACAATCACAGTTTCCAAATTCATATTCATTGATATAGCAATTGCAAAATCTTGTTTTTGTGAATTAACTTTTATTGTTGTTTATTTGTGAACAGGATTCAGAGGCTACGGACCTGAGCTTGTCTAATGAAAATGTTCCAGGCCCCAGTGATCGTCAGCCTCAGCCTCAGCTTTGGTCTACTCAGTCTGAGCAGTGGCGTGAAATTTTAACACAAAGACGTACCTGCACAGATCAGGCAATTAGAAATTCAGGAGGAGCTGCTGAGAATACAACTGGCCAAATTAATAGTTAAACAGAAGCAAGTACATATAAGCAAATCAATTTTAGAAGAGCTAAGGAGTATCCACAATAGGCCTACCCTAGCAAATAAACCCACAGCCATAGATTTCCTTAATTCAACTCAACAAGGGGGCTATTTATCATGTTTTTCCATAATTTTATTCAAAGTTTTGAGGTGAATTTTGCTACCTCCCAAATTAAGTATATTCAGCAGCTCCTTAAATAAATCCCCTCTAAAGTGTTGGGAGACCAAAATTCACAAAAAATGTCATGGCAAAGTTTCACTTAAATTGTCTAATGATGTGAAAGAGGATGTCATTTAACAGACACTTCTGTAATGATTTTCATAATAAACATGATAAATATGATTGAAGAGACAAATTTAGGTTTTCTGTTGTATGCAGTAAACCTCAATTTGGTATTCTGTCATCAATATCTGTCTTCAAACACATTTCTTCTGAAAACTCTTGCAGAAATGTGTGTTAAAACTTAAATGATATCTTCTTTTCACTCATGCAATTTAGGGGAAATTTTGCCATAATAAGTTTTGTGGGGCTCCCAACACTTCAGAGAACCTTTACTGTCTTATTATATGATATATACAGGTCTCTGTGTCATATATATCAAGTCATGTGTTTTAAGACTAAAAAATTACAACATCCAAAGGTACACCAAAATTCGGTTCAATTTTGTTCGGTCACGTGCTGATCAAAACACGGACATTAATTATAAATTAATAACTATGATTTGTGAATAGGAAACTTAACTGCGGACCCATTTGAAAAAAAAATGTCTTTCATTTGTTCTTTCAAGTGAAGAATAAGGGGGGTGGGAGGTGCGTCTATTACAAACAATACAGTATTTCCGTAAATCAACTGAGTCACACCATTTAACATAATTTGTTACTGTGCACCCTTCTGTAAATTGTTAAAGATATTTTGTGATGACACCGAAAGACTAGTTAATAACAGAAAAACTTTGACCTTCAATGGGTAGACAGGTGAGAGCATTTTAATCTATCCACATGTTAAGCTAACATTTGTGATGCATCATACAACTCCTTTATTATGTAATTTAGGTTGTTTGATTTTACCCAGTTTTTACTCTTATCGATCAAGAAGAATATTATCTGCTACAGTTATGGTAGAAATGGATTTTTTTTTTTTTTTTTTATCAGAATAATAAATACTACTGCTGCTTTACAGAAAATCCATAGCAAAAGTTGTCTTTTCTTTGCTATTTTTTAGTGTAATAAAGTTAAATTACTGGCCTTTAACAAATTTAATTTTTCTGTCACATTATGTACAACTTGTGTGTACCCGTATGAATATATCCTGTTGTAGAAAAAAGTTGTTAAATAAATGGTGACAATTGATTCGATGAGATAATTCAGATATCAGTCAATTTTACAACATAGTCATTCTGAAAAAGTAAAATACATGACAAGTGAAGAAATGCTTTGATTACATTGCATTGATTTGGAGAAAAGGAGGGGGGAAAAGAGAGAAAAGGGAAGAGAGAAAAAAGAGGGAGAAAAAAAGGGAGGGGAAAAGGAAGAGAGGAGAGAAAAGGGGGAAAAGGAGAATAATGAGAAGGGAAAAGAAAGAAAGGGGGATGATATTAAAGGAAGTTTTTTTTTTACCGGGAAAGGGGGGGGGAGGCACGCAATTTTGCAATGTGCATAATATGGGATCCCTCTTGCCAGGCGTGTAGCCCCCCCCCCCCCCCCCAACAACAACAAAAAAGCACAAGAAGAACCAACAACAAAAGAGAATGGGGAAAAAAGGGGGAATAGAGAATTTCTGTGAGTTAAAGAAGAAAGGAAAAAAATGAAAGAGAATTAAACAACGGTAAAAGAGAGGTGCGAGAGCATGAGACAGTGCATTTAAAAAAAAAATAATAATGGGATAACAACCAGGGACGTCGCTAAAGTGGGGGTGCGAGACCACCCCCCCCCCCCCCCCCCCCTGTCAGGATATTATCGGTAAAATTGCGCTACTGTCGGGAAAATGAGAAAAGGGGGAGAGAAAAATGAGAGGGAAAGGGACAGAAAAGAGAGTAAGAGAAGAGAAGGAAGAAAGAAAGAAAAAAAAAGAAAAAGAGGAAAGAAAGGAAAAGAAAGAAAAGAAAAAAAAGGAGAAAAGGAAAGAGAAAAAAAAAAAGAAGAGAAAAGGGAAACAAAAGAAACGGGGGTGAAAGAGAGGAGAGAGAGACAGGGATAAGAGTCGGGTGCAGTAGGAGAGAGAGGGAATTGTTGGGTGAAGTCACCACATCGAGGGGGTAAGAAAGACACGCAAATTATGTTGCTGTGTCGGTATTCTTGCTCGATCCTCGTGTGCTATATCAATGCAGAAGTTTGAAGCCGGTGAGATGTATTATGTCGGTCGGCTAGCAAAAAAATTCCCCTACGGACTGTGACTTTTTATCGGAGAAAGAAACATTTTTGAAAATTTAGACAATGATTAAGAATCCGACGAATCGTCTTCTTTCTCAAATACTTTAATGAAACGTCAAAGCCATCAATATTTGAAGATCGGCCATCATCGAGATCGAATTAGAACAACTTTCAAATTTGACGCGAAATTTATCACATGACATTACACTAAGAACTGTTCCTACGTCTCGTCTCGACGAGACGTAGGCTACGACCTGTATGCAACTTAGTTAAAGGGGTACTAAGTACGGTACGCGTCTTAGTGGGCTTTGTGAAACTCCCGCTAAGATGCATCTTACACTAAGTCCTATAACGGGACTTAAGGCCGCTTAAGACGCATCTTAGTGCTTAGTGAGACAGGCCCCAGGTATTTGTTTACTTGAGGAGAATGGGGATGCTTACTTTGATTGACTTTTGGCTTACAAACAATGTCTAAAGAACACACAACGATGATAATAATAATAGTAATAACAACACAAAAACAATACCAAAAGCAACAATAATAATAATAATATAATAATAATAATAATAATAATAATAATAATAATAATAATAATTATATGAGATTTATAAGGCGCCAATTCCACTTAATCAAATGCTCAAATACTGAAATTGATTTATTTTTCAATCTTGAGATACAGTTCTAGCCAAACTTGTGATAAAAAAAAAAATCTTGCACTATAATGATAAACATGTCATCGTTGTGTCTTTGTATTCCTACAGTATCCAAAGAGCATGAGTGAGGAGGGGGTATTTAGTTTACACAGACACCTAACCAAAAGTGGAGTTAAGGTATCTTGTAAAACACTCAAAAGGTAAATGTTGGATACCTGCTTGTTAAAAGTATTCCGGTGCCAAGTGTCTCTACTGCTTCTTCTTCCACTATTCCTAATACAACTACCTTTAGTACTTCTACTTCTACTACTTCTACTACTTCTTCTACTTCTTCTGCTACTACTTTTACAGCTACTTCTTTGACTTCTACTCTTACTACTTCTATTCCTACTACTCCTACTACTCCTACTACTTCTACTACTCCTACTACTTCTACTACTACTTCTTCTACTCTTACTACTTCTACTCCTACTACTCCTACTACTTCTCTTTCTACTACTACTGCTATGTAGATTGTAGAAGTGTTGTGGTCGAGTGGATACGTCGCCGGACTGTCGATCACAAGGTCCGCGGTTCGAATCCCTCCGCCGCACTAATGTCCTTTGGCAAGACATTTGCCACACTCCACCCAGGTGAACTAAATTGGTACCTGGTATAGGAATTTGTGCCTTGAAATGCTAGAGCGCCGTATATGGCCGCCGTGCTAAAGCCATATAATCGGGAGCGCCAGGAGGGTCAAATCTGACTGACATGAGCGCTATACAAAAACCCATTATTATTTATTATTATTACTTCTACTACTTCCACTGCTACTACTTCCACCTCTACTTCTTCCACTTCTTCTGCTTCTACTTCTAATACTTCTTCTGCTACTGATCCATTGTAACTACTGATATTACTGCTACTACTTCTACTTCTGCTAATATCCCTCAGACACTTATAATAGTTTATTATATATATATAGATATTAGTACACTTTGAAGAAAGTTTTCAATGCAGCACACACATAAACAAACAAGCAAACGCACACGCACGCATGCACACCTTTTTCACCCTCTTAATTTTGTGTATCCTTCCATGCAGGGGCGGCCGAGCGACTTCCAAAGTGGGGGGGGGGGGGGAACCAAGAAAGAAGGGGACTTTCTGGATAAAAAAAGGGAACCTACAAAGGGAAATCTCACAGCGAAAATATGCAATTTTTTTAGACATTGGTATATACCCCTACATTGTACTTACAATTATCGGGGATGATTTCAATATTTGTTTCACTTTATACACTATACAAGATATTGCTTTGCAGTTGGGATTGAATTTCTAAAAATTTGTTTGCGAGCGAGCGAGGAAATTTTTTTAAGATGTGTGAGGTCGCATTGCCATAAATTACATCTTACAAAGAGGAAAAACCAAATCCTAATGGGGATATAAGCACATTCTCATAACGAAAGAGTGAAAAGACCTTTGATAAGTAATATATTAAAGTATATCATCTATAGATGCGTGCGAGCGTAGCGAGCGAGCTTTGGGGGAAATTGCTCTTAGTCGCTTGAAATTAGCTAGGGCGCGTTTAATGATGAGAGGAAAGGGGGACCTTATCAAGAAAGAAAAGGAGCATGTGCTAAAGTATATCACAGGTGAAAATGGGGCACTTTTTACAGGGATGAAAAAGGTGAGTCATAAGAATAGGAAATGGGCATTTGTCGACGGAAAAGAGGCCCCTATCAGATTTTGAACGGGGGATTTATGAAAAGGGGATAGGTCCCTAATTAGAAAGGAAAAGGGGCACGTATCATTGTTAAAAGGGAATTTATCAGAGGTGAAAAGAGGCATTTATCGCATCTGAAAAGGGGCAATGACCAGATATGAATAGGGGCACTTATGTGAATGAAAAAGGGGCACTTGTAATAAAGGAAAATGTGCATTAGTTGTAAGAAATGGGTATCGATCAGATTTTAAAGGGGCATTTATCGGAGGTGAAGGGGGCATTTATCTGAAGTGAAAAGAAGTAACTTCTCGTACCTGAAAAGGGTCATTTACCAGAGAAGGGGCACTTATGAAAAGGGGAAGGGGCTGTTTTTCTAATGGGGCACTTATCATTGGGAAAAGGGGCACTTATTAGAATTAAATAGGACAATTATCATAGGTGAAGGGGGCACTTATCAAAAGT